TACAGAGAGTTTCTTCAAATAAACGTTTGAATTTCTGATGGTTACTGGTACCCGACAAGTAGTGTTTGATAGACTTTTTTGTCTTATTTTCGTTCGGTCATTTCGTACTGTTCTTCTGTTACTCATAATTTTGATTTTACATATGGTATCTCCCTTCTTTTTATGAGCTTTACCTGCCGAAATACAGCATATTTGTAAAAAGAAAGACACACATTTCAATATTCCTTCTTTTATCAAAATTCATTTTAAAGAATTTTTTTATTTTACACTTTTTTCATTGGCAAGTGTTTCACATGCCATTACTAATAGCTAAAATTCGAATGAGCTGCAGTATTATAATCCTAACACCCATTTTAATATTAAAAATAAATCACAACTTACCTCAGAAAGACAGTTCGCATGGCGGGTTATGCGTGAATAGCAGAAGACGTTTACCTTGTGGACGCCCCGGGTCTTGTTGTGGACGCCCCGGGTCTTGCTGTGGACGCCCCGGATCTTGCTGCTATTAGAGTGTATGCGAGTCATTCAGTTTTTGTTTGTTACCTTGATTTGTCTCTTCTTAATCGATTTACGAGATTTGAACATCGGTAAACTACTATAGCCTTAAATTATTATGATATTATCCAAATTTGAAGTGGACAAGTAACGATAAAACATTCAAAATTCACATATCATGCTAAAGGGCCAAAATCATTCGCAATGTTTCGCAAACAATTATTTAAATTGGATTTATTGGAATAACAGAGATGTATTTAAAGAAATATCACTGTCATTTTGGGATTCGATGGCTACAACTCATTAAATACATTTTTTTTTTTGTATATTCAATGTTGATTAAATGTTAAATTCATCCGAAACTTTAAAGTTTGCTATCCCAGGCATATACTGCTATAGTCACATTTGGTCCTACTTAAGGGATTTTTTTTTTAATGCGTTTCTACTTCCGAATATATTTGACCTTCAAAATGTTTTGTTTTGAGTGGCATTGTTGGGTCTTACGTAGATGAAACTTGCGTCTGGCGTACTTAATTATAAGCCTTGAATCTTTTGTTTTTGATATGATGGATTTATGTACTGGCAAACAAGACTAACTGGAATAACACCTTACTAGCTTTTACATCTTTTTCGAGACGGGATGTAATATTGCAATAAGTCAATTTAAAATTGAAAACGTTTGTAATACTTTGATGAAATCCTCTTGTGTGAAAGAGGTTTAGAAGATAGAACCTAATTTATCTTAAAATCAATATACTCAGCATAGAAATTGATTGAAGTTACAGTAAAAAGCACTTTGTTTTCATCAGTGTCGTCCTTGTTATTTCAGAACGATCGTTTGAAAACAGGAATGCGGAAAAGTTGTCACAGCTTATTGAATGAAGGAAATGAAATGATCACATGTAAATTAGTTTGTCTGACCGAAATTCCTATCGTAATACGTGTTTGAATAATCTTAATAAGGCAGAAAATGCGCATTAAAACCTTTAGTAAATATTGGGTCGAAAGATAAAGTTTTGTTCAATTATTAAAACATTGAAAACGTAATTTTAGTGAAAGATCAACGTAATCATATTGTTCGAAGGGTATAATTTTACCAACAATTTGTTAATGACATTAAAGAGAAAAGTTAAAGCGTAGATTACAAGATAGAACAATAAACAGGCATGGACTAAGAACTTAGATTTTGAACATAAGTTAATTTGAGTTTGACTAAAAGGGGCATTAGCTACGAGATATAAAAAAAATAAAATATGATTTTATTCTGTTCAATCATTAAGGAAGTGAAATAGTGAAATAATGATTCGCTTTTAGCAGCCAGTTTAGTTCAATTTTGTCAAAATAAGCTAATTGTGACTTGGACGGAGAGCTGTCTCATTGCCACTCATACCACATCTTCTTATATATATTAAGAAACATCGCTGATGAATTATTCACTTGCAAGTGCATAATTCGACCTCATTGAATCCGTATTCATGTGACCTTCAATTTAACTCATTAGCTAGATTGGTTACGCATGTATTAGTCGTGTTCAGCCATTAAAAGGAAAAGAATGACAACATTGAAAGTGAAACAAGAATGAACCATTTCGTTTACTGAATCGATCCACAAAAAATATTTTTTACAGGTAAAAACGATGATTAACTTATTTTTTTAACCTATAACATGAAATCAGAGAGACCTAGAAAAGTCCTATTGCACGAGGTCGCTATCTATCTATATTTATGTTTATGTTTATATGTGATCGTCGGCAGTCTCCGGAGGTCATCTCAATGGTTATTTAGATGGCGTCTAGACTAAAATACACACGAAATGCTGATATATATTATCGAGTCCGTGCATTGTTAATTGTTTATTTCAGACTTATTGTAATTTGGATATATGTTGTAGTATGTTATTAATCAAATATGAGAATTTGAGTCAAATCGGTGAACATGAATTTGACAGCTAATGCCCCTTTAAACTTTCTCTTTTTAAAATAACAGACTTGGCTCGAGGTTAAGTGATCAAATAACATGTCATTTACGCATGAAATTTATAACGTGTTGTTTACATCTTTTTACAGCACTGGGTTGATACCTCTGCTGGTTGACTATCGAATGTATCTTCAGTTCAGTAGTCAGTACTTCGTTACTGACATGATTTATAACAAACCTTTTTAAAATTGTCTGTTTGTAAATTTTGAAATTATAGAGAAACTAAGGTTCCAATTCACTTCAATTCGGCTTTGAGCGTTCCTAAAGCAGGTTAATCCAGAAAGGCGCTTCGGACGCATGACATTTATAACGTGTTGTTTTTATTTTTTTAACCTTTACGCAATACTTGGTTTTGAAAGTAATGTAACAATTTCAGCAAATGAGAATTCTGGTGCCATTTGAAATAATTACCCAATTTGAATTAAGTGGACACATAGTTCGTAAATTGTTTAAGATATTTGCGGACTTGAAAAACCTGGTGGTAGATTCCGCTATATCTACGAATACAACAGGTTGCTGAGAAGATTATAACTTAAGCTCAACAGTACAAATTAAAAAAAGAACAGACATCTAGATAATATAAATTAAGGAGATAAGATAAGATTCCCAAAAGAGACAACTTTTCAACAGAGTCTTAATGGCATGGATGTAATCAACTATAGTTCACCGTATGTCTTTTAAAAAAGAGCAAAACCCATAACGGCAGCCATAGAAGGCACAAGTATGACTAACATTTGAAACAATTCAAACGAACAAACCCAACGGCCTAATTTTTGACAAAACAATAAACCGAAAACAAATATGACAGGCAGCATCCAACGACAGAATAAATAATATGACAGTTAAACATGTTTGTGAGCACTCCCCTTTAATCCTGGTATCTGTGATGAGTTTATTCACATAGGTCAGTGGTGTAACAGCACACTACAAGGTTTGTTTTACAGTTTCCAATAACGGACAATAATTTATAAGCAGTCAACTGGCACATAGTCTTAGGTAATAGAATATCATTTTATGATTACATATCTAAGAAATTCTTATGTAATGTTATTCAATTTACGCTCGTACTCCTTCAATCAAAGTTGACCTGAATAATTTTTTTCACCTTCCAAATGTTTCATCCTGTGTGTGTGTGAAAGTGATGCATGTCAGCTGCAGGAAGTTGGAAATGTGGAAAGGTCGTATTTACAAGCAATAATATGAGTATATGCTATGTGTTTCTATATTCTACATTGGCTAGAGGCATAGGGGGAGGTTTGAGATCTCACAAAACATGTTTAACCCCGCCGCATTTTTGCGCCTGTCCCAAGTCAGGAGCCTTTGGCCTTTGTTAGTCTTGAATATTTTTTTAATTTTAGTTCATTTATATGTTTTGTAGTTTAGTGTGACGTCCATTTTCACTGAACTAGTACACAATTTTATTAAGGGGCCAGCTGAGGACCACCTCCGGGTGCGGGATTTCTCGCTGCGTTGAAGACCCATTGGTGGCCTTCGCCTGTTGTCTGCTCTTTGGTCGGGTTGTTGTCTCTTTGACATATTCCCTATTTCCATTCTCAACTTTATAACTTTAAAACATACTGGTCAGGGCTCTTATTGATCGGCAGAGGTTTGACTAATTTCATTTAAATTTGTTTCACTGACGGGATCATAATTCAAAAGTTCGTATTTTGTAAAGATTGAATCATGGCACTGTGGTAGGGGCGAATTGGTAATGTTGATGGTGAAAAATATTATAGCAACTGCCGAAGCAAGAACAGAAATAAAAGCTGTGTTTCTTTCTCTGGTATATTTGATATTTCTTAGCATTTCTATTGAATTGTTTCTTCTGTACTCTCATCCAAATCCCGTCTTATACACGATGTACTCAGATGTGCAGGAAGAAAATTTATATCTTGCTGCTCATGATATTTGTCGTAATGCCCTTTAATTAAATTCTATCAATTCTTATGTTAAAACAATGAATTACTCTATTAACACTTACAATATGCCTGCAATTATCCGGGGGGGGGGGGGGGGGCATTTACAGTTTATTGGCCAACAGACTAGGAATGGTGTCCTTTAAAATTTAGACAGTAATAATACCAACCTCATCTGCATTAAATCATCACATTAAATCTATGAAAGAAGTAACAGGTTACACAAGGTGTAAAATAACAAATGAACTGTGAAATAGAAACATTATATGCAATACATTTATAACTATCTTTACTAAGAAAGGGAAGATTCACTATTAGGAAATCATCTGTGTAACAGAAGCTGAAATTAAGAATCAATTATCCATGCAAAATAATGGTACTTCTACTACTTGAGTGTTTAACGACATTAGATAACAATGAGGTTCTCGCACGATCAACAAGTAAAACATTGAAGAAATATAATGGATAAGGTAAGTCTGGTTTGTATGTACCTTTGTCACCATGTGATCTTTCCGTAACAGTTTAGTCGTACATTTCAATTAGAATGCACTTTATTATATCATTTTCGAAAATGGTAAGACATTATTATTTTCTTTATTTCTCTATTTTTCAGCGTTGATACAGAGGTATCTATGAAGGAACCATTGATAATATTGCTAGCTCATGGAGCAGTATTTTACAGTCCTCAACATCGACTTCGAAGTCGGTGCGAATTAGATTTGTCTCGTTTCCCCTTTGATTCCCAGACTTGCATGATCCGATTTGGATCATGGACTTATGATACAACTCGTGTTAATTTTACTCATTTAGGATCAAAGGACAATAACATTGAGTATAGAGATTTTCGAACAAACAAAGAATGGTCTGTTCTAGAATCTTATGTTACAAAACTTGAAAAACAATACGATGGAGGTGGAGAAGATAAATACTCAATAATGGAATACAAATTTCACTTACAACGAAATCCTGTGTATTACACACATATGTTTATAATGCCTGCTGTATTGGTGGCAGCTTTAGTGCCGTTTCAGTTTATGCTTCCACCAGAGTCAAAAGAGAGAATAACGCTAGGTAAGAAGATTACCATTACTCGCGATTATTTCTTAAAATGAAACAGATATTCTATACATATTTGAAAAAAGGAAACATTTTGGGTGACATTCAGGGAGACAGTAACTCAACATCACAAACCCAACACATTACTGATAGCTTACTTAAATTTATATAATTAAACTTCCACAAAACACCTTAAACACTTTCGTATTTATTTTTTACAAAAGTATTGTAAAAATTGGAGACGGCATTAGTTCACCAAAACTAGTCAAAGGTCATAGTGCCGTCTTCAATGATGGGCAAATTCTCACAATAAGCTTTAAGTTATCTCGTCTAGCCAATTGCAACTATGAATAAATTCAACTGAGACAACCGAATATTTAACATTAAAACAAAAAATCGCAAGTAGATAAAACACAAAAGAAAAAAAGTGAAAAGCTCTAACGAGTTAGCAAATTGAGGCAGTTAAACATACAAAAATATATGTAAAACTTGAATCATGCCCTCAAACACTTCAATTCATATCTTTGTAACTTAAAAAAAACAACTCATAAATACTTTTAAAAAACATGATATATTGGGAAGTTAGATAGAAAGTTGCGCCAAAGTCATATACTATACTAGTTTGTAAAAACAAATAAAAATAACAATTTAAGGGGGTACCAAACACCTTGACTAAAATTAATTTGGCTCGTTTAAATTTCATAAAATTTTGACAAAATATTTACTTTAACCCTTTGACAAAAATATAAAAATTTCAAAAAACTTGAACCACACACTTTATCGGAAAAATTTCATTGGATATATAGCAGGTTGACAAACACTAATTTTGATCATTGGGAAGCTTAATATTTCCTTAACAACAGAACGTGATTAAAACGTTCAGCTGATTTTTACAGAGTTATCTCCCTGTAGTGTTATGTACCACCTTAATTATGTAAAACAAAGTGGTAATAAGCGAAACTATTTTTATCTCATAAATGAGTTAGAAATAATGATTTAAGGCTATAACATGTGTTAATAAGCGAGTTAGAAATAATGATTTTGACGCTATAACATGTGTTAATAAATGAGTTAGAAATAATGATTTAAGGCTATAACATGTGTTAATAAATGAGTTAGAAATAATTATTTAAGGCTATAACATGTGTTAATAAATGAGTTAGAAATAATGATTTAAGGCTATAACATGTGTTATAAATCAATTCAGCCAGGCACAATAATTTGAATGAAAAAACTTTCGTTCGTTTGATTTGATTTTTAAATCATTGAACATGAGTAAAACAACGGGTGTACCTAGTCGAGCAAAAACTGCTGACACTCCAGGAGTTCACTGTTTTGGTTGGATTAATCTAACTTACTCTTTAGTTTTTTAATTAGGAGAAGGGCTTTTGATACAAAATACCAATTGGCATTAATAGGAGAGTACATAACAAGTAAAATATCTCCAAGTATTACAAAAACATATCTGTTTAGTGCTGTTTCGTAAGGTCGTTATCAAGTAAATTCATTGTCAAACTACAATGATAGCAGTAAAACAACACATCAGATGCTATGAGTGTGGCGCTGTGTTCCCCAGTAAAACAACCTATAGTTTATTGTTATAAATAAAACGTTTATGAACATCCCCAATTAAACATAAAATATCTCTCTCTCTCTCTCTCTCTCTCTCTCTCTCTCTCTCTCTCTCTCTCTCAAATGAACCAATTATATAAATAGTTCTTGTCCACAATTATAACGCATTGCTTTTTTTCCATTCTAGGTTCTATTCTTATGTTAGGTTTGTTATTGCTGTTGACGATGTTACAGGACCTGCTCCCAGAAACACATTCTACTGTGCCAACACTAGGTAAAAAACGTACATGCTGGAATTGTCTACCTATTCCATATTGCTATATTATCTATCGTGGTATGACATGTCTATTACGTGATAAATATGTATAAACTGTGCATATACTTAATTGTGTATGATAGTGAAAGTTATATCATTAGACCATTACAAATGAAGAAGACATTTTAAATGCACTCTAAATTATTATGAATAAAGAGAGGAAACAAAAGTTAACCGATGTTCAAATCTCGTTAATCGATTAAGAAGAGGCAAGTCAATGTTACACATGTTACAAACAAAACCTGAGCGAATATATGATATGATACATTTAAGAGACTTTTGTAAATAATATCAAAAGTATCTGAGAGTCAACAAGAACCGCAAAAGTAAATGTAAGGAATCGTCTTAAATGTACTGTAATCTGAGCTGGTATGCTTATCGAGTACTTCCAGAGACTACAATTTGTTCATGTAGTTTGACTATTTTAAAGAATATTATTGAATTGTGGTTACGTGCATCATTATTCGATACCCATTTTATATACAAACTTTATTTTACTTATAAATCCGCCGATGTAATTATTTCACAGTAAATATTTGTGAGTTGTATTTTGGAGAGTTAAGTCATGGTCATTCTAGAGTAGTAAATACATATTCTAATGCAACATCGTTTGTAACGTTCATTTTGATTGGATAACGTCACTAATTTTCATGGCATTAATTCATAATTGATGCTATGAAAACGTATGCGCAAGCGCAGACGACGTATGGCAGATTTTTAATGTATGATTTGACGTTGTTTTCTGTCAGTTTCATTAGAATGGAGTTAACAATATTGTATTTTAAGCTCCGACGGCATCAATTGGTGATTTGATGGTCGCAAACACCCGTTTACTGGCTCCGCAAACGCGTCGCCAGTGAAATTAATTTGCGACCATCAAATCACCAATTGATGCCGTCGGAGCTTAAAATACAATACAGTTATCTCCTAAAGAGTAGAAATATGAGCTATTAAAAAAAGAGTAATTATTCCGTAATGAAATCAAGATATGCTTACAGTCTTTCATAAATTCGTGTGAAAAAGTATAAAATTCTTCCATTTATACAAATATTTGATGAAAATATCTATTGCATTTAAAAAGAAAACATATTCTGCATTTTATAGCAAGCTACTATACCATAACGGCGGTCTGGATTGCATTGTCAATTCTGACGTCTATTTGGACCATAAATATCCAGTCTCGTGGGCCACGACGGCAAAAGGTTCCAGTATTTATACGACATGTAAGTATATTTATCACATTCACATCAACTAGAAATCAGTGCGCTTCATATTGCAAGGATATCACAAAATAACCTTAAAACCATGAAAATTTAAAAAAGATTGAGAATACCAATTGTACTAAACTTCAACGCTAAAAACATTGATAACCGTATACATTGGTTATTCTTTTTAATTCAGCAGTGAAATAATGGTGTGTTTTTATAATTTGTAATAAAAACCACAAGTTGAAGTAAGACGTACAACACCATGGTCAAAAGAATAAAAAAAAAGCTTAATAAATAAACAACAGCTCATGATATATTTCACAAAAAAACAAAATACTGAGCAATAAGAACCATAACTTTACTTGGGATGAGCTTAACTGCAGACAGATGAACAGTTCCTGCACTATAAGTAACATCTGTGTTGTTCATTGAAAAATAAATATTCGGTGATTTCGAAGTCGCATCCAAGGATATCACAATCGAGGAAAATAAGTCATGATCGTGGCACCGAGAAATGATCTGTTAGAAAGGTTTAGTGAGCAACGGTCAACTTAATCGTGATTGCGTTCGTAAACTTGTCGGAGATATGGTTCCAACGATAGCGATAAGAACCTTTGCGTAAATAGCTCCCTTGTAATCAGCACCCTCTATTACGTTAATCATGACAGAAAACATAACTTTGGAATATGATATTAACTGGGAGATTTATACTCTTTGAACAGTTGTTGCTTAAGTGTTTGTACAAAGAAATGAAAATTTTACAATGGGAAAATTCAAAACATCTTTTTGCCGTCAATGTTAGCTCTCAACGGCACCTTACTATCAAGTGCTAGATTCAATTCATGAAAGGTCCAGATGTTATTGCGTATGTTGTATCCTTTAAATCAAGTTCAATAAAATAGAATATACTATGGATTCTTTTACCGTTATGGTATTAACCTTTACGGTTTAGTCCATTTTTGATTATATCCTTTTGGCGTAACTCGGTACTTATGCATCCCACCATTGTGTTATTGTGCTATGGTCATTTTTTGTATTCTTGTCTTTCATTTTTGCTTATATGCTTTGTCTATATGTCATTTTATTTTTTCTTTGTTGACATATTTGTTTGTTTTCATAGTGATTAAGATTATAACACAATGTTGACTGATGTACCCCTATTTTTGACTTTTTTACCTATTATGTCTGTTTGTTTTGTTCACACATTGTTGTCAATATAATGGAATTTTATGCGATTGTCGTACAAGTGAGAGGTCAAGCTAGCTATAAAACCAGGTTTAATCCACCATTTTCTACATAAGGAAATATCTGTACCAAGTCAGGAATATGACAGTTGTTTTCCGTTCGTTTGATGTGTTTGAGGTTTTGATTTTGCCATTTAATAAGGGACTTTCCGTTTTGTTTTTGAGTTCGGTATTTCTGTTATTTTACTTTTCATTAATTCTTGTGGATACCAATTTTCGTGGATGAAGAAATTTTTTAATTTGAGTGTTTATTTGAATTCGCGGATTTGCAAAAGTCTGTAAACAAGCCTATAGAAAACGGAACTTGGTTGAAAATTTAAATTCGTGTTTTACCTTTACCCAAGAAATCCACGAAAATTGGTATCCCATGAATGATAATGAATCCAGAGTAGTCGCTAAATATAAAATATCGAGTATGCGAACATCATTCATTTCGAGAAAGGTTAATTTAAAGAAAATAACTGCGTCCGATAACGGATAATTCTGTCTGTTTCATTCTTCTTGAGAAGTCCTTGTATGAAGTCTATCTCATACAAATTAAGGAACAAGTTGGCGACAGAGGATCACATTTGGTGTCGATAGGAATGTTTTAAATATATTCTATTTCACATTTTACCAATATCCTTATTTTCGTATTTTTTTCTTTTATAAATTACTGGATTATGTCCTTTAAAGTATTAAAAATCAAATACTTAGTAAGCTAAGATTTATTACCTTTTCCCAATTTTGTTTTCAATTTTACTTCAAAAGAACCACGAAACCGAACAATAATTCTCATTTGTTGGAACTGACTTGTTAGATCTATTAATGACGTTTTTATAAAGTGGTTTCAATTTTTGTTAGATTTAAAGAAAAATGAAAAACCAAACGCACCGATACAATCCAAGTGTTATTTGTTTTATATACCTTACATTTCCAATAATGACGGTTACTTGTAATATAATATAATGAAAATGTGATTTTATGCATAAAAAGTAAACATGAAAGTCAAAACAAATCTTTTATATATAAAGTTAATATCGAAATTACCATAGAAAAGAAAACCATAGGTTATTCATCATTTGCAGGTTATCACACTGGCTTTCGACTATTTTAAATATATTGACTATTTTTTTATATTGTTGACATTAACATGTAAATAGAAAAATGTTGGCACTCCTGTAATTTACGCAGTTACGTAAATATAATTAGTTGCAGTATTGCAGCTATAAATATTGATTTAGAGATTGTGCTTATTATTGAAATGGCAGACGAATTAAAGTTGTAAACGCCTATGTTTGCAGAAGAAGCGTCCGATGTAACGTTTGCTGAAAAAAAGGATAGCCAATGTAAATAATACATTCGTTCAGAGCGGAAACAGTTAAATCTTATGTATATGTTCTTATAACTGGTCAGATGTATTGTAATTCGCCGTTTCATAAGCCATAGAACTATTCGTAATTTTTTTGTTCGTATACCGAATGAAAATAACGTCAGGTCATTGGTTGAATTCCCATTGTTTAGGACTCTGTTAGCCAATCACAACGTAATACTTTTTATTTTTCTTTGGTGTAATCTTTCAAAAAATATTACCTAAAATGCACCAGATTCTGATACGGCGAATTAAAATTCAAGCTTTATCAAATCAAAATTTACTCATAATTTTCAGTAGTTTTATTAGATATTTTTTAAAATCAAACATATCTGACCAGTTGTAAGAAAAACGCGTATTGAGTTAAGCGTGTTGTCGAAATAAATATATATACAGTTGAATTTCTTCTTTCTGATATTTGGAATAAAGGTTAATGTCATTATCAATGTTTACGAGCACATGTGATTGATTAATTAGAGAAAAATATCAGTTAAGTATATATGTGAATAAAACGTTTTTTCCTTTTATTATTTAGAAAAAGCGGTCTTTCAGAATATGTATTTTTTACTACAGCAGTTATCTTTGCGTTGATTCATAATCACACTTCCCCAAACTATAGAATATTCTATTTTTTTCTTTTAATGAGGAATATTAAACCTCATATCGGCCAATTGGTTCAAACGGTATATCTCGATGTATTAGACTGTAATCATGCCAACGAAAGCAATGTTTATAAATAAGAATGCAATGATTTTTATATAATATTTGTTTTTTGTTTTATTTTGGATTTATTACAATCCAACCTTTGATTTTTCCAATCTGCGTTTATTAAGAAATTAACAACGGTATAACCCTCGTTCAAAACTATAATTTCATGTTCCAGTTTAGCTATACTTTTTGTCCTTTTTGGTTATATTAGCGGTCAAAGGTTCTATTAAGTATTGAATTTTCAAATACTTTGGCAATGCGTATCTCTGAAGAAACATTACTTGTCGAAATAAGAAGTTGATGCAAGTAAAATGTGTACCATTAATGTGTGTTACTGCACCAATGAAAAAGAAATTATTGTATAAATAAAGAACGGATTTAGAGGGAAGTGCATCATTTGATCTTAAATACATTTTTTTTAAAAATCCAATTTTTAGACAATTGTTTTGCAGTGAAATCACCCCTGGATTTTAGTGGGGTTCGAGTTGCTCAATCTTTATTTTTCTATATTGTGATTTGCAAACTGTTGTTTGTCTTTTGTTCGTTTTTCGTTTTTTGCCATGGCTTTGTCAGTTTGTCTTTATCTTATGAGTTTGAATATACCTTCCGTCTCTCCATATAAACTTATGAAAATTATGGCCAATTTCATCTAGTAAATTTGTTTCTCTCTCAGTGTAAACACGCAGATATTGATGAAGTGTATTGGAATATTAGAGAGTTTAAATGTTATACCGTTATGATTTCTCAAAATTTTTACATGCATCTAATTCAGATCTATGCACTGATGCTGAAGACAGTTTTAGTTTTACCGTTTTCTATTTCTTTTGAATTGTTCATTGATGGTCATCCATTACCAAAATGAATTATTTCTTATCTTTGAAACAAACAAAAAACTTTACATCACTTATGTAAGTAACGTGTATATCCTCTGTAAATTTGGATAATACTGAAATACTCAAATATTTTTTGTATTGCAAAATTCTACATCTTTTTAAAAACATTAAAACTTTGGTTACATATTTCGAAATTTAACATAACATTGTTACAGCTTAACACAATAATATTGTATATTTCAGCAGAGATCAACATAACTTTTGAAAATGAATCAAATGTAAAACAAATGCAAGAGAAATTGTGCTACTTTTTTTAGGTTTAGATTTTGCAATTATGTGGAAATAAGAAAAATATATAAAATGATCTTCAGAAAAACTAATAGTTATGTTACATACCAATGCGAATTGTATAAGCTGTCAAATTAGTATTTACAAGAATACATCCCGTGTTTTTGTTCGCTTTACATACGAACTCTACGCCATCTTCCGTAACTGTATACTGTAGTGTCGACTTTCGAGAATATGTACAATTTGGTAACACAGTTGCTCTTCCCTGACTAAGATCTTGAATTTTAGGATAATCAAAGAAGAAATTCTCTTCTCGTTTCTTATAACATTATTGAAGATCATTTGGTTGGTAACCGACATTACCATGGCATATCAGTTTTAACAATGTTCCATTTTTAAATCCATCAGGGAATTGTTGTTTCGAACTTGTTATCGGGAACCTAGCTTCGTTTTGCTCTGTAAGGTACCATCGGTTTAATTGATTTATATTTACAAATGCTTTATTAACTATATAAAATCTATAATACCGATTTGTTTTGGTGTATACAATACGTGTCCCTTGAAAAATCTTCATCAAGTATGCGCAAATAAAAAATATATATCATCTACTAAAGAACCAAAATAGCCTGATGTATATACAAATCAAATTGTCGACGGAAAGTTTATTAGTACAATGACATAAATATTGAACTTTGCCTGAGGGAGTTACCACCTTTGTTTAACATAATTCACGAACAGGCAAAATTTTTTCGTTCAAATCATGCAAATAACTTAGCATGACTGTAAACTGTTGTGGTTTTTCGGTTTTGCCGTAATTTTGTCGGTCTTTTTTCGACTGATGGCTTTTGATTCTCCGTTTTGTATCGTCTATTATCTAAACCTTGGCTACTGGTCGGATGGGCCATTTTGGGTTTTCTAACAGAGAATCGGTACCAATCCATTGGTAGTAAACAAAGTGTGATACTGATTTTCGTAGGACACGTGTTTCTGGAATTATCTTCATCAGGTAGAGGAAAAACACTTAACTCTAATATAACCGTATAATATACCCCCATAAAACACCCAAGTATATATAAACACAATAAAAATAAACAATTTTATACCATATCAAAAAATGAAACCAAAATCAAAGAACTTAACTTCGAAATATAAAATCACGCCATCATAAATGTTTGTAAAAATACCTTGTATATTGTTTTCTATTTTAATTATAAACTTAGTGAAATAAATTGAATATTGGGTTTAACTCAGTTAAAGTTTATTTTTAACGACATACATAAAAGGAAATTGGTTAACTGAAATTCACATCTTCCTCATAGTCATTTTCCTGTTGTAACAAAGACAAATTGTGTTAAATAATATCCGCTATTTTATCTATAAATACTTAAAGGTTGTTGAAAACTTGTCGATTTTATTTTTTTTTTAGATTTGCCAAATATTGTTTTGTGTTGATCATTTCATTGATTCCTTTGTTTTCATTTTTCATCATATTGTTTATTAGTGATCGTGTATTGATAGTCTTACATCCATTGCCTGATGTTCATCTACATACTTGTTCTTTTGATAAAGACTAACATTGAGATGAAGAAATGTTAAATTTGTTCGTGCATTGCTTTTTACGATTTTTTATGATTTTTTTTTATTGTAATTCTACAGCTTTTTACAGAAACTTTTACCTGTTCTCTTGCTTATATTTTGACAATTTTCTGCATGTACTGAAATATAAGGGATAAATAAGAATGAGTTTTACATGTAAAAAGTAGTCAACTATAAAACCAAACAATAATAAACCAATTTTTATCATTGTTATTGAAAGAAAGAGAGAGATAGAAAGATTCGAAATTAAGTTTCTGCCAAAGTTTGATAAATTTAAAATGCGTTTGATTTGCAATATGATTGCTTTCATTATTACATGCCAAAAAAATGATATTCATCACCGACTGAATTTGAATTGCAGTGCTAGCAAATGCGATCCTCGTTGGAAAAATTTTCCAAACCGAACAACTTCAATAGGGAATTTGAAATTTGCACATCTCAATCTACAGTAGATTTAACGATCTGCCTCTTTGAAATTAAGTTAAAGTAAATATTGCTTTAAACTAAAAAACCATAAAATTACCCCCTTGACGATTTTTCCTTTTTGGTTTTAAAATCCGACAAATTAATTTCACCCTGTGCATTTCAGATCAAAGAAAATCCCGTTTTTTATATCTGTCTGAGAAAATAACTATTTAAATGTATTTTGACAGACAATAAACTCATCATAGATACCAGGATTTCAATTTTTGTACGCCAGACTCGCGTTCCGTCTACAAAAGACTCATGAGTGACGCTCGAATAAAAAAAATTAAAAAGGCAAAATAAAGTACGAAATTGAAGTGCATTGAGTAGCCAAAATTCTGAAAGGCTTTGCCAAATACAGAAAGGTAATATATTCCTGGGTAGAAAACACTTAGTTTTTAGAAAAATTCAAAGTTTTGTATACAGTTAATTTATAATTATGACCATATCAATGATAGTTCATGTCAACACGGAAGTGCTGACAATATGCAAGTTATACATTACTGATAAAAAATAACGGATAGATAATTTGCTAGTATCGCTTTGCACCAAATTTGACCAAAAACACAGCAATTAAGTTTTTATACTGACCATTAGTGAAAACCTGCCAGTCTCCCCATAAACCATATAATTTGGTGTTGTTGGATGAACACTGTAATATGCCTTGCGCTAGGCTATCGGCTTTTGTTTTAAATATAATCACAAGCGCACGTGAGAAACATTCCAAAACAAATAAACACACAAGGTAAATGAGTTTGTTTGAATGAACGCTATAAAAGGCATTATATACAGAAACTGGTTTTAATTACACACATGCTTACCAGCGCTCACAAATGTATGTAACATGCTCTAATTAATGACTAACACACAATGCAGGTTTGTTTGAATGTATGCTGTAAAATGCCTTGTGTAAAGAAACTGATTTTACATATGCTTGCAAACACGCTCACAAATGTATATGAACAACATTCACTAACTTCCCTAACTAATGATTAACGCACAAGCTTTATCAGTTTGGTTCAATACACACTGTTAACTACCTTACCTTTTTGTAGTAACACTACTGTAAATAATTTAAAAAGGAGCATTACTTCTACCTCGGTCGTGAATAATCATTTACGGATGTGAATTTATTATTATGTTTCGTTTATAAAGGAAATGACTATTAATTTTAATTCCTCTTCCCTATGGTCACGGTTTTTTCTTCATGTTTTATTTCCACCATATATTATGTCATCATGGAATGCTGTGGGAATAACTACTCTAAAGATGACCCGGCTGGGGAAACATGTAGTTTGAAATTTCTATTTACATACTTTATTGAATAAATTTGATTAACGCCTACTTCACGAATGCTGAACAGCGGTATACTACTGTTGCCTTTATCTATATTTGTTTTTTACTTTGTTTTTATACTATTTTAAACAGAATTTGATAAAATCGTAAAACACAAAATATAAATTACCATTAAAAATATGAAGTAATACGACGATAAAGAAAATTAAGAATATATTTTAAAAGCCAATCGTGGTCAACGTTAAATTTCATAACCGAAATGAAAATAGGAAGTTAAAGTGTGAAAAAAGTCTTTACGACTGTAAATTATCAGTCGTCACACACTCGATGATATTCTTTTTCTATTTGTTATTGTTTGGTTTTTTTAACTGTCAAAATAAATAATTTTCACATCATCTGCAATAAAATGTTTATATGCCTGCCATAACTTAGAACCTTGTCAGTGGTTGTCTCCGTGGAATCTTTATGTATTATTCCCCTTTTGTCAGTGAGAAAATTTGGTCTGAAAGATCAAAGTGATGTTCTCAATTAATATATTCACAACATTTATAGATATTTTTTACATTATATATTACTAAACTACGCATTCTGATCTATAGGTATCTTTGGTTTTTTTAATTATTTCTTTTCTGCTAGTCTGATCTGGAAGAAATAGTTTGCTATTGTAAGCGTTTGATACAGATAGCAATGGGGACGATACGTGCTTCTGGAAAAAAACTGTTTCAAATATTCTCGATACCAAGTATGTAGATTTTCGATTTTCGATAGCAACTAACGCTCTCATGATTCTTAATGGTTGAGACCATAAATGTCATTTCTTGTTAGTAACCATTATCTATCTTGTCTGATTTTTTATATTGCAGTTCTTCTTACGAGGCTTGAAAAGACTTGTTTGTCTCGGCGATGACACCTATTATCCTTTGGATGAATCTGAGACGGTTTCCATGCGAGGACTCGATCGACCTCTTGACAGCATGACGAAACCTGATACCACGACCACACAATCAAAGATGGAAAAAGACATCGAAGAAATTTTACGTCACGTTCATACAATGGCTTTCAGGGCTACTGTCCTTGAAGCAAGACAGGATGTTAGAAATGAATGGCACCAGGTGGCGTTAGTCATCGATCGTCTGTTGTGTTTTCTTTTCTTTATAACATTCCTTTTGTATACATTTGTTCTTTTAGGGTAAACGGGCATATGGTGTTATGTTATGTCTCAGACATGACCAGGATAAGCAATGTATGGTTAATTGATGAACTGAACGAAGAATTATTTTCGGTGGACCATAGCAAGGGTACCAAATTTGTTGTTTTTAAATGTATTTTTTTTCACTCTTCGTACAAAATAAATGTATTTACAAGAAAACGTGTGGCATTTTTTTGTTTTGAATAAAATGCATTCTAAGCCCTAATGAGGACCATAGAGACTTGATTTTAATAATTAATTGATTCAGACTTAACATTACATTTTCAATATAAATATAATCAAGGAAATCGTATTATATGCCTTTCCTAGCAAAAAAGCAAAAAAAAAAATCTACAATATCAACGGACTACTTAGCGTGATGCAGGCAGGATGTTAGAAATGAATTGCACCTGGCAGCTTGTGTAAAATGTCTGATGTCGAGTCCCCCTGCGCACTATATGTGTTTCAGGAATAACTTTTTTTAGTGACGCCCGTTTGAGCTTTTGAATTTGCCATTTGATAAAGAACTTTCCGTTTTGAATTTTCCTTGGAGTTCGGTATATTTGTTATTTTACTTTCTACATAACACTCGTTTGTGGCTCTCGAATCAAAACAATTGAAATTCATTAACCTAACACATTTGCAGCCGATCCCACCTGTATTCGTCATTTCATAAGCTATTCATTTCAGGCCATATGGCTCTCCATTATTCTTTAAACTGCTCTAGCTGAATTTGGTTGACAGTATGAAATTTAACCTTGCAATTAATGATCCATGTGCCTTTTCTATGTGTGCTGTTATGAAACGGTGACTTCTGTACTGTCCTTTTTGGAGGTTAAAGTAGAAACAAACTCACAACAATTAACTAAATAATTTGGAGTGGGATTGCAATGGTTGCCACTACGGCAATGGTATAGACCGTAGATGTTTATAATTATTCTAAATGAAACCCTATGTTGATCAGAAACATAAGGAGGTGTTATGTGGCTAGACCAGTTCAGGACTGTAAAAACAAGGTCTGCCATTAATGCTTTCCGAACAAGCCAATGGCTGCAAATGCACTGACAGTCGACATTAGTGGGCTATATACTTATTAAATGACTAAGACGCACAGTTACATCAGCGTTCATCTCTTAATGTCAAATAATAGCCAATTAATTGTCCATGTTTCTAATGAGTTGGTTTGTACCCACTTATCGGATTCATCGTCGACCTCACCGTCCCCAATGGAAGATCAGCATCAATTATATTGTCAGCCTTCAGCTAATTTGCATATAATTGGCATATTTTTGAAAATTGTTGAAAACGTCTTATTTTTTAAAATTCTCTCTGCGAAATGAGTTAATTAAAATATTTTGATATAATTTAATCCTAGAAGATGAATAATCTCTTTCAGTCAAAAAGAAGCAGCTTAAGACTTTGCATAAAAAATCTGCTCTGACCGAAAATTGACCACATTTGCCGCGATGATAGTCAATTACATACGATGATAAAATAAAAAAAATAATGCTGCTGTTATCCTATTGGTGGTAAAACAAGTTAGTATTTTGCGAACGATCAAAATAGGATGAAGGATGCACTTCCAAGAGAAGCAATGCCACTTCAAAATAAAACAAAAAAAAAGAGACATGAATTGGTATCTAGATCTCAATATAGCTATTCAACATAAAACAGGTGACTATAAAAAAAACATTTTTAAGCCCGCCGTAGTTTTGTGCCTGTCCCAAGTCAGGAACCTCTGGCCTTTGTTAGTCTTATATGTTTTTTTAATTTTGGTTCATTTATATGTTTCGGAGTTAAGTGTGACGTCCATTTTTGTTAAACTAGTATACATTATTATTTAGGGGTCAGCTGAAGCCCGCCTCCTGGGGCGTAATTTTCTCTCTGTAATGATGACCCATCGGTGTCCTTGGGCTGTTTTTTGTTCTTCGGTCGGGTTGTTGTCTCTTTGACACATTCCCCGTTTCCATTCTCAATTTTATTAAATCACTAAATTCTAAAATCGGGAATAAATCTAACAGAAACAACGAAATACCCTTCATTCCCTATTAAGAATTTAATTAGAAGCCAGTAAGTCAACATGCAGTATGAAATGGAAATTAGAATTTAGAATTGAATCTACCAAGCCAAAAAGATTTCAATATTCCTTTCTGTTAATTCTGTGTGAAAGGCATCTACAATTAGGTCCCATTTCCAATACAACAGGTATAACTATCTACGCCCAAGAACGTTTAGCAACCAAAACAAGACGTCTACATACCAAAACATTACCACCTATCAAACACATTCTAAATGAATTGTAAGAGGAATTAATAAAACATTGAAAACAGTGGTATCGTTTATAAAACGTTGAGTAGGCAGCAAACGCAATTTCGGTAAGACACAACCTACTACATATGCAGCGTTTAGCGAATTTGTTTGTCAAAATAATGAAAGTTTTAAACAGAGACTAAAATACTAGTGGTGTCAAAACGATTGAAGTAAAGACCGTATACAGAGTAGTTATAAGCAATGTCCTTAGTATCGCTGTTGTCTCTATTACCTAGACGGTCGTGACAGACTAATAAAGGGAGACAAATCAAACAAACGAAACAGGTTTAAGATAAACGAACAAGACGAATGCGAACAGTATTTTAGGCTCTTAAGAGCCTGTGTCGCTCACCTTGGTCAATGTGCATATCAAATAAAGGACACTCTCCAACATTGTAGACGAGAATAGACTTCATGACAAAAATCTCTATTTTGTTGATCTGGTATTACTGATCTTTTAGTCTGTTTAGTTTCTCTCTATCTTCTTTAGTTTTTGCTCAGAAAACAAAAGAGGGTGAAAAAAATCCTCATTTAAAGGCAATCACTCCTATGAAGAGTGACAGTCTACTAACTATATCGGCAAAATTTTGATTTTTAATAAATCTTGCCTTGCTGATAATTTTTGTGATTTAAAGTGTCTATTTATCTATTATAATTTAAATCATATAACGCATAACGGGAAAAAATTTTCTCTCTCTAAATATCATAGTTTTCATGATAATAGGCAAAAATGAAATAAAAAAAATGGTAAAATTTGTCATTTATGGGCAATAACTTCCATAAGAATTTGTCTAACAGTTATGACGTATATGAACAATTGGTAGAGCTCATTATTCTGAACATTTTTGCTCCTTTCAGATTTTATCTATTTATAACGGTTCAGAACATTATAGACAAAACATGCATTTCATCCCTATGTTCTATTTTTAGCCATGTCGGCCATGTTGGTTGGTAGGCAGGGTCATCGGACACATTTTTTAAACTAGATACCCTAATGATGATTGTGGCCAGTTTGGTTAAATTTGTCTCAGTAGTTTCAGAGGAGAAGATTTTTGTAAAAGATTATAAATTGACTATAAAGGGCAATAACTCCTTAAGGGGTCAATTGACCATTTTGGTCATGTTGACTTATTTGTAGATCTTATATTATTACTTTGCTGAACATTATTGCTGTTTACAGTTTATCTCTATCTATAATAATATTCAAGATAATAACCAAAAACTGTAAAATTTCCTTAAAATTACCAATTCAGGGGCAGCAACCCAGCTACGGCTTGTCTGATTTTATGAAAATTTCAGGGCAGATAGATCTTAACCTGATGAACATTTTTACCACGTCAAATTTCCTCTAAATGCTTTAGTTTCAGAGATATAAGCCAAAATCTGCATTTTACCCCTATGTTCTATTTTAAGCCATGTCGGCCATGTTGGTTAGTAGGCAGGGTGATCGGACACATTTTTTAAACAAGATACCCTAATGATGACTTTGGCCAAGTTTGGTTAAATTTGTCTCAGTAGTTACAGAGAAGATTTTTGTAAAAGATTACAAAAATTTACAAAAAATTGTTAAAAATTGACTATAAAGGGCAACAACTCAAAAAGGGGTCAATTGACAATTTTGATCATTTAACTTATTTGTAGAGCTTACTTTGTTGAACACTTTTGCTGTTTACAGTTTATCTCCATCTATTATAATTTTCAAGATAATAACCAAAAACTGCAAAATTTCCTAAAATTACCAATTCAGGGGCAGCACCCAACAGCGGGTTGTCTGATGCGTCTGAAAATTTCAAGCCAGATAGATCTTGACCTGATGAAAATTTTTACCCCAGTCAGATTTACTCTAAATGCTTTACTTTCAAAGATATAAGCCAAAAACTGCATTTTACCGCCATGTTCTATTTTTAGCCATGGCGGCCATCTTGGTTGATTGGCGGGATCATAGGATACATTTTTTTTAAACTAGATACCCTAAGGATGATTTAGGCCAATGTTGGTTTTATTTGGACCAGTAGTTTCAGAGGAGAAGATTTTTGTAAAAGTTAACAGACGACGACGGACGACGACGACGATGGACGGCGACGACGACGGACGACGGACGCCAAGTGATGAGAAAAGCTCACTTGGCCCTTTTGGGCCAGGTGAGCTAAAAATGAAGTTTAAATTTGGCAATTCGAACTTGCATCAATACTGGAAATAATATCATGTGCTTTGGAAGAGTTAGTATAGTAAGCAGCACCTATCTAATAGAACAAAGGTGGCCAGTAGTGAAATTCCGTTAATGTAATAAATCGGTCATAATCGTTTAGTACCGCAGTACCATCAAATATCGGAAACATAAATGTGAAATGTCACCTAAACACAAGAGGGTAGAACAATTATAACTCTTGTAAAGTCGTTTACGTTTAATTTGCTTTTTGATACCAATCTAGCAGGTGAACAGTACGATGAAATTATCTTAATCTAAATGACGCTCAAAAAAATGTACCAAAAGCAAACAAAATGTCTTTAAGGAATTTTGAAATTAATACGAAACTAAATAGTATACATATAGGTATTTGATAGTAAATGTATAGTAAGTTTTGTCCCATTCATGCTGACAATGTCTGAAATACTGCAAATTCTTCTTTGATTTCCTTTAACAGGTCTTTGTTTTGATACAACTCTAAACAGGTTAACGCCATCGCCTTTCCTTGAGTAAGGGTCGGTGGTTGTGCATTTGGGTCACCTTTAATCAAAGTATATATGATCATTTCAACGTAAAAAAAATATTTAAGCAATCAAAACAATGAATAAATAGTTGTTTTATATAAGATTTCTGAAAGGATTCGAAGTGCAAATCAATATCTTTTTAAAGTCAAAGTGCTGAAATGGTTTTACTCGATTAAATCTGTTTTATTGCATTACACAGCCAAGATCGACAAAAAATGAGAAATAAAAAAAAAAGGCAACGCATTAGACTGCACTAGTTCTAATTTTGTCAAAATGTATTAAATCATACGTTTTGTGAACTTTTTAAGCCATTCAAAAGGTTGAAATTCCATACTTTTTCGTCATAGTGATATTTTCGTTACAAATGTCCCTTTATCATATCATAAAGTCTCGATCCTTTGGTACCTTTAAAATGTATCGGGCTAATCAAATGTAATCGTAAAATTATCAATGAAACGTTTATAATTGACAAAAAACTCTTTTACGGTAATGTCGGGGTCTTTTAAAACCAACCATACAGTATGTGTTTTTCTCATTGTTGATGGTCGTACGGTGGCCTAGTATGGCTTACTGCCACTTCATTGTATCTTAGATGGATAGTTGTCTCATTCGCAATCATATCACGTCTTATTTTGTTATATTTGAATAAGTCGCAAGCATACAGTTTTTATTAATTCCTGACTATTTTGACTTGGATGGAGAGTTGTCTCATTGACACTCATACCACATCTTCTTATATCTATCTTGACAATATTGGTTAGAAATGAAATTCACCGAGAAAGTGTTACCGTGAATTTTTCGGATAAGGTAACTCAAAACGGATTGACCTATAGTTTACACTTTATTAACCAGACTGAAATCTTGACCATAAAAGAACAGACAGATAAACAACATTTTGATGATTATATCTGTTGGAAAATGGTGTCCAAGGATCACTTGGCTGTCTTCAATGTGGTTTTTGACATGTGATACAAGTAGTTCAATAACAGATTGAATCATACACCGATAAACATGATCTCGATTACATGACTGAATAAATACATTGTCGATTAAGCACGCTAGTTTGCTTTTCTAACTTGTCTATTCTAGAGTCAACATCTTCAAGGTTATATAACGACTAAGTTTAAAGGCAATGTATCAAATAATCACCAAATAGTCTCGAATAAGACAGCCTTATTCTTTAATGTATTAATAGATTATTATCTTAGTTATAACCTCCCTTCAAAATAATATACTTTCCCTTAAATATAACCAGTCTTTCCTATGTAACCTAACGTTTAGTAAAAGAAAATATTGTATTCATGTAAACAGTTGTAAACGAGAAATATTTAACAAAGCCTTTTTTCAGACTTCACATTTTTACTGAATTGAAACATTATCCTTGTACCAAACTCCATCTTCTTACAGTTTGAAATAATTCCTTCTGTCAAAACAGTATTAAACAAATTGTTTGTCAGACTCCCTTATACAAGTTTTTAGTTAGCTATAAAACCAGGTTTATACAAAGTCAGGAATATGGCAGTTGTTTTTCACTTTTTGCGTTGATGTATAGCGTTTTTATCTATGGACCTCTCCTTTTTTAATTTGCCGTGGACTTCGGTATTTTTGTTATACTTTTTTATGTTGTGAATGCTATAAATAAGGATATGGTTTATGATTGTCGATGAGTAAACTCTCCACCACAGATATAAACAATATTAAGAAATAAGACCTTTCCTACTCACTTCTCTTTATGAAGAATTAATTTTGGATTTTCTTCAAGATTTCTTACACTCATGTTTGATTTTACTTTATTTGACATATTAAATGTACCTGATGCTAAAGCAAAGTCTTTTGAATGATTAACAGAAGTTGTTCCAATTCCATAAAACGGGTGAATGCTTGGAACAACTTGGGATACATTGCCCATATCAGTAGATCCTCCAATCTGACCTTCTGCTGAGTCAAACTTCACCCCTAAATACTCAGCATTTCCCCTAAAAGCAGCTTCTAAACGCTTGTTGGTTACAACATTCAGACAAGGTCTTCCTGTGAACTCATACTCAACCTGAAAGTTTGTTTACAATGTGGTATATTATTTTACAATGACAAAACTGAAGGAGAAATAAGCGTTTTCTAAATCAAAGTAATGAACCACTTGACCTAGTTGAATCCATTTTTTTCAAATTTGTTTAACGGATGTAATTTTTGAGTCTATAGCTTTGGTATAGACCCACCATCCTTATTATGAAAAATATAAGGAGCAGTCTCTAACCGATATGTTAATATCTTAATCTGGCTTATCGCTAGTTTCTTCTACTCCCAATTCTGCGATTTATATTGTATCTCAATGCTAATTACAATTATGGTCTGACAGATCGTGATACCAATTTATTTGCCTCACAAGCACTTATCAATATACTAATGTGTTGAACTTCTACCTACATGTATCCCATTGGAAATGGGTAACAACATTATGGTTTCGCAGCTTTTGTAGAGGAAATTTCTTACAAAATAAATACAAATATTAAGCTGAGTTGGTTTAATACATACGTTGATTAGTGTATGATTTTAAACAGAAAAAATGTTTTGATGGCAAAACTCAAAGTAGTTTAAAAACTTGATATTATAATTCGAATAGTACTTAATCAGATGAAGTGACTATTTGCGTGAATGATTTTTTGTATCAAATTATACTGCATGTTTTTTTTCAAATTCATGTTTGCGATGTTGGATTATTATCTCGTGAATATAATTGTACTTTGTAAAAGCATTAGGAAAGACCGTCGAACACTTTATGTAAAACGTGAAACGCCTCCCACTTTAGAATGAATATTCAGGTAATGAAATTTTAAATTCATAAAATGAAACATTCAACGTTTATAACAAAATTAGAGTTGAAATTCAGAACAACATTTTTTTTAAATGAAATGAATCCACATGATCATCATAATTTTGATAATATCCATTCGAAATTTCTATTGCATTAATTTGTCTCAGAAACTCGAGGTAAACAAACATCTATGAGTTTTGACTGATGAAATGTACTGAAGAACGTTGCATACAGACGTCACTCTGTGGGTTTAATATGAAGAAGTTTACTCCCAATACTATGCAAGATATAAATTCGATTGCCTTCCCAAAAATAAATCTGGTTGATACTCTAAAAATAATACTACATTTTCTTTATTTAAAATAGATAACTTATCCGACAGAGAAGTATTGGTTCGGAATCACTTTTAATGAAAAAAGTTAGGCCTTCTGAACTATGTATCTTCAAGGGAATTAAACAAACCTGACAGCATGTCGCCACAGCAGCTGCCTCAAAACATGCTTTCATTTTGTCTCTTAGTTCATCCAATTCCTTTTTGCTTGGTGTCCTGAAGTAGAACTCTAGCTCTGATAAATCTGGTATGATGTTTGGCTTGACTCCTCCATTCTTTATTATCCCTTGTCATTGAAAAGAAGCGGTACATTTATTTCTTTACGTTATTGTAACTATAATACAGTATATAAAGCATAGATTCGACCAAGATAAGTTTGGTCGATGTTCTACATTCTTGAAAACTTGATCTTTTTATCTTTGAAAATTAAAGCAAAATTTCATTATACTTTCCAAGAAGTTTTTGCCTTTTTCATATCATATAAATGTATTTGAATAATGTACTATACCAAAATCATTTCTATTTTAAAAGTTATACTGGGTCATGAAATATATTTGGAACAAACAATCGTATTAATATAATATACATTTACAAAGCAACTTTTCCTATATTCAATTATTTACCGTGTACTCTCCATGTTTGTTTCAACTGTTGTCTCAAGCAGGAAACATTTTGGTAGCATAATACAGCAGCATCAAGGGCATTTACTCCTTCCCAAGGATAAGCTGCTGCGTGAGCTGCTTTTCCTATATATTTGATAGTGACTCTAAAATAAACATAGCTTAATCATTTGAAATTTCTATTTATAGTTCAATATCATAAATGTATTATTCCATTTGTCTTATTCACGATGGTTTGACTAATGTTTTAAACAATGAACATAATATGTGTATTGCAGGATGCCATGATAGCCTTTGTATTGTACCGGTGTTTACAGTTCTTATTCACAAAGTCTTAGTTACCAGTATTGTTTTGTATAATTGTCAAGATTTCTTATTCTGGTATTTACTATCTTCACTCTTAATTAGTTGTTTACCCTCATTTTATAATCACTTCGGTATCCTTTACATAAAGATTTCACATTATCTCTTAGATTTATAACTATAAACCAGTAACTTGTATGCAATAATATTTGAACCATATTCAGTGAAGCATAACACTTACCCATCAATAGCAAGCATTTGTACATTTGAAATTGTCTTTGGGAACGGATGTACCATCATGGCTACATCTATCTTATTGAATGCACCAGATTCAATCAAGTCTATTTTACCGCCATATCCTTCTTCATCTGGAGTTCCCAAGATAGTAATCTAAAATGGAGTTTTCTATGAGATGTCAATTCTTAAGTAGAATGCACCGCGTAAACACACTGTCTTAAACGTGACAAAAACTAAACTTACAACTGGAAGGGGAAGATTATTTTAAACAAACCAAAATGCATTCAAAGAAAACATACAACACCGATTGCTTAATTCGGAAACATGAAACGACTACAAACTATATTTCTGGACATAAAATTTAAAAAGAAAACAAAAACGATGCACTATGTTTGTATTTCCTGTGTTGATATTCTCCTAAACACTTCGAAAAATCTATTGATATTAAATTGATCTGACTAACTATTTGCATTTCAAGAAGTTTTAAACAATTATATATTCTATCTATAAAACTAATTGTGACATTAACGGGTACCATAATCGAATGTTTACTTGAACACCAGAGTTCACACTCAGTTTTAATTTATTTTAAATCGCGTCGCTCAATCTTTACTTGTAGTGTAGTGTATAACCCGGAAGATTTGGACAAATGTGAATTAGAAATAAAGCAAATTCAGACAATATATTTTAAGTGCTAAAGTGGCAATTTGTTAATCCGTTTATCTCACCTTTTACCTTTCTTTGTGTTTAATTAATTCTATTGTTAAATATATATTTGTCGTAATGGAAATCACTTGACGATGACAAGTTAATCCGTTGGACACTAATTCTTTTCTATAGATACTGTTATTTGTCTTTTCGTCGTTTCACTTTTGGACAATGTATTGTTTGTTGTTTCACTTGTTTTTTAGGTATGGTTACTGATTGTGTCGTTGGTTATATCTTACCCATTATGAGACGAGACTCGCGGCTGGAATTACATTATGATCTCATATGTGGCACATAACTTCACCATCAACAGCAAGCCTTGTAACATTTTATTTGTTTCATATTATCACATTTTTCATAACGAAAAGGGATATATGCAAATTTAGTCGTCAGACATGCTTGCATAGCGTATGTCAAACTATGAAATCATTGTGTCTACCATTATATTAATGAAATAATTAGAATATGAAATCGAGTCTGTGTAACGTATGTTTATTGGTATTCTACAGTAAGGATGTGCTTACCTTTCCCATTGGAGTCCCTAACCGTTTGAATGCTGCTTGCACACCAATAGCTACAGCAATTCCAGATTCTGCAATCAAATTATGACCACAAGCGTGACCAATCTCGGGAAGAGCATCATATTCGCAAATAACTGCAATGTTCGGTCCGTTATCTGCTGATCCTAATTCAGCTTTGAAAGCCGTGTCTAGTATAAAGTTTCTTTGTACCGTAAACCCTTTCTGTTCTAGTATATTCGTAAGGACAGTGTGAGCATGAATTTCGTTTAATCCTAGTTCTTGCCTTTTCCACAATATTTGGCTAATGCTGTTCAGTTCTTCCGATCCATTATCTATTGCTAAACAAGCAACTTGTCTCAGGTTTTCCATTGTTAAAAAACCGACTGATACAACATGTATTCAGTTGTAAAGACAATCTTGTTTATTGCAAACTTTTATCTTTCAAAGAAGGTGAAAATATGGAACATGAAGATCTTATAATGGTTATTCAACGTTATTACAATACATTACGAAACAAGAGGAAGACTATACGAAAGGATTGCAATAAATAAAAATAAACTTTTCGAAGAATAGACAAAACCTTCGCCACAAAACACTATACAGAAAACTAGAATACTGTGGATTCATTTATTTTCGTGGGTATCAATTTCCTTGGATTGAGGAAAACTTATATGTTCGTGGATATTTAATTTCGTGGTTTTGCCGATGTCTGCATACATGCTTATAAAACATTTGTAGTTCGTTGAACATTTGATTTCGTGGTTTGCCTGTACACACGTAATCCACGAAAATTGGTATCCAACGAATAATTATGAATCCACAGTACTGTGGATTCATTTATTTTCGTGGGTACCAATTTTCGTGGATTGAGGAAAACTTGCATTTTCGTGGATATTTAATTTCGTTGTTTTGGCAAAGTCTGCATACATTCATTTAGAAAATTTGCAATTCGTTGACTATTTAAAATCGTGGTTCCCCTGTACCCACGAAATCCACGAAAATTGGTATCCAACGAATACTAATAAATCCACAGTAAGCGACACGAATTCCACAAATAATCGGGGTGAAAACTGTTCCGAAAGGTTGAACAGTGCATGTTCCAGAACTATCATCTTCATGTAAATTAATTGTGCACATCACATCTACTTGTTTCTTATTTTATTTATTGTACTCATATGACGCAGAATTCATACAACACCTTCTCAAAGACAAAATAAAATGCATCGTGTCAAATAGAAAAATAAAGGATATGGGGTATCCATCAAATCAGTACATCAAAAAAACACTCAAAAAGCAAAGGCACAGCGCTTTTATTGCTCAAAGTCACAGTGAGGCCCTCACACGGATCAAAACAAACCCCAAAGAAACAAAAGATCTCACCTCACTGCAAGCCCAAGAAGGCCCCTAGCACCGGTCCGAGTGGACCTGCAAAATGACTCCGATAGACTCTGTAAGATGTATCACCATCAAATCGGGCCCGGTGAAAAAAGTACATACTGAAAAGTAGTACACACCTACAACAAAACAGCCCCCACGTATAGGCGCAAATATAAAACTATGTAGAATATATTTTCATTATTAAGGTATCAAATTGAAAGCGAAGGACCGGCGATCCCTGCAGAACACATATCGACTGATAATTATTAATTATACAAAAAGGCATGAATTAATTCTAAAATTGAGGGCATATAACTATAATAATAACTTTACAAATACAGAAGAGCATAAATATCAAGCACGGAGTAACTTTCTACGGCCTCCACACAGCTCGTCTAGTTTTTATTAAATTCTCTTTCAGATAAATTGTCACTCAATAAAGCACATTTTAGAAAGTACGTGTATCCTGTGTGTATTGGTTGATTAAGACAACATTTCAGTTACTCAACAAAAAGAAATGTTTTCCCAGTCTTAGGTCTAAAGAGGAGTAATTAATTTTCTATTGTTTCCTGTCTCAGCTATTGTTACATTCTATCAGTCGCAAAGCGCATCTTCAGCTCAGTAGTCAGTACTTTGTACTGACATGATGACATAATTTAAAACAAACCTTTTGGCTTTAAAGCTCTTCGACTGTCTCGGTTCTTATACATCCTTAACTTTCAAATATTCGGTTTTGGCGTTCCTGATGAAGGTTAATCTAGAAAAAATCTTTTGACGCATGAAATTCATAATGTGTTGTTTTTTTTTTAATTTCTAAAAGCCCTGAGTCGATACCGCTGCTTGGGGACTATCCGTCCCCAAGGGTATCTTCACTTCAGTAGTAAGTACTGACATGATTTACAATTAACCTTTCTCAAATTGTCCTTTTATAAATTATTAAGAAACTAAAGTTTCAACTCCCTCAGGCAAAGTTGACCTTGAGTGGATCTGGCTATTATTTTAAGGTCTCTTTTGATCGTATATCTCTTAAAAGTTTTCGGTTCTTATACATCCTTAGCTTTTAAATATTTGGCTTCCTGAGTGTGCCTTATGAAGGTAAATCAAGAAAAGCGCTTCGGTTGCATGAAATTAAAAAAAATCTGCATTCCCATGGGAACCAACTATGCCCCTCTTCTTGCCGACTTGTTCCTTTATTCACATGAGGCTAGCTTCATACAGGAACTTCTCAGGAAGAAAGAAAAGAAGTTAGCAGTATCCTTTAACTTAACTTTCCGCTACATAGATGATGTTCTCTCACTAAATAATTCAAAATTTGGTGACGATGTTGAACGCATCTATCCAATCGAACTTGAGATAAAGGATACAACAGATACAGTTAAGTCTGCCTCATATCTTGACTTACATCTAGAAATTGACAATTAGGGTCGGTTGAAAACAAAACTTTATGACAAAAGAGATGATTTTAGCTACCCAATTGTGAACTTTCCATTTTTATGTAGCAACATTCCAGCAGCGCCTGCATACGGAGTATATATCTCCCAGTTGATATGATACTCCAGGGCTTGTATTTTCTATCACGATTTCCTTAATAGAGGGTTGCTGCTCATAAGGAAGCTATTAAACCAAGAGTTTCAAGTGGTGAAGTTGAAATCATCCCTTCGTAAATTTACGGACGCCATCGCGAGTTGGTTGACCGTTACGGAAAACCCGTTTCACAGATGATAGCGGATATGTTCATAGCGTCGTAACTACGATGCAGTCCCCTTTTCCCGAATGTGACCTACCGAATTAGACTTATTACCGAGTTTGTACTAACATGAGCAACACGACGGGTGCCACATGTGGAGCAGGATCTGCTTACCCTTCCGGAGTTCAGAAATCACCCCCAGTTTTTGGCGGGGTTCGTGTTCCTCAGTCTTTAGTTTTTCTATGTTCTGATTGTGTACTATTGTTTGTCTGTTTGTCATTTTCTTTTAGCCATGGCGTTGTCAGTTTATTTTCGACTTATGAGTTTGAATGTCCCTTTGGTATCTTTCGCTCCTCTTTTAAAAAGGAGTTGTTTTCTTTTTTTTAAATCGATTCTTATTGCTGGTGATGCATACATAGGAGGAGAGCCTTACTAGTCTCGATTCGGTTTTAATTGTTAAAATTCTTTTGAGTTTTGTATTTTAATCATAATTTGTATACTTTGATTTACACGACTTGAACATTGATAAAGTCCTATTGCCTTAAATGAGTAAATTTAAACTTAATCTTAATCGTATTACCCGATGATTAATAAAAAAACAAATAGAAACTAAGGTTCCAACTTTCTCATTCAAAGTTCACCTCAGATGATTCGGCTATTCTTTCGATTCCCATTTTGGTCTAAAGAGTCTAACTTGTGTACGTACATTTACAGCCCTGTCTTTTAAGTGAATATGACTTAAGATTTAACAACATAAACTCACAAAAACACCAGTTGATAGATTGTTTGTTCATATATGTAGATACAGAGACACGATATTATCTCCGAACAATTCATATTTCTCTTAATGTATCAATTCAATTCAATTCACCAATTTAGTTCACTCTTCGGGTAATACTAAATTGATAACAAGTTTCTAAAGAAACTTAGTTTAACTCCGTTACATGTTCATGTGTTTGTTAAAAATAAGGCAACGTGCAGTGATTGCCTTATGTCATTTATCCATGATTACATTAAATATGAATTGTTGGTTTTGTCTCTTAGTTGTTTTTTTTTTTTTTGTTTATCAATTTCATTTTTATTTTATTTTTATGCGAATTTGGTTTCTGTATACATTTTTCTTATTGGTGCGATTTATAGCTTGACATCTGGAAAGCACCTGTCTAATGTTGCAGACGTTATTTGGAACTCTAAATGTCGTTTATATGTTCATGTTGGGTAGCTATCTCATTGAGGTATACCTTAACTCTTCTTTTATCTATAATAAGTAAAATTGGTTTATTCATTTTCAATTATTATTTTCATCTCACATATCCTAGTTAGATTGGGATTAAGGATACTACTAAAACTAAGAGGTCTGCTCATGTCTTGAAATTGACACAGATGCGCGACTTCAAACTGGAATTTATGACACACGTGATTTTTTAAACTTTCCAATTTGTCGCATTTCGCTTTGCAGCAGTTACAAGCCCCCTTCTAAATCATTTGGCGTTGACACATCTCAATTGATACGATACGCTCTTTTATGTTCATACTGTACGGACTTTATTACCAGGGATGTACTCCTTACAACTAAAATCAATAAATTAATAAAGAAAATGGTAACATCTGGTTAAAAAAGTTACAAAATTAAGCAAATCCAGCAGTTTACATAAATCTGTAAGGTTTCAGAACTTTTTTGTCATCGCCGATTTCATTGTGAATTTTGTTTGAATACTGCAAATTCGTCCCTTATATCTTTCAATAAGTTTTCATTCGTAAATATATCAAGACAGGTAAGTGCCATAGCTTTCGCTTGATTCAGAGTATGCAACTGAGCTTTTGGATCACCTGAAAAATATTAAGCATGTAAAGATTATAAAAGCATCCCGGTCAACAAAATGCTGTACAATTGAACAAATGTGCGTTCGTTTTAAACATTCATTAAAAGAAGGCTTTTGATTAACTTCCCTTTAAAAAAACGAAAAACACTGATAACACTATTTGATAGTTAATATTTTAGAAACTGAAACTACAATTTTCTAAGTACAGAAATAAAGGAATATTATTATGAAAAAAAGTTTTTTTTTCTAAATATTACATGAAGTTGCCTGCCTTGATGCATGACCCTTTTATGATAATTATACAGTCGAGAGTACGTTTAGTAATCAACAAGTTCTTTTCGAGTTGATGAAATTAACTTTAAGTTGATGTTTGAATAATTTGAATCTTATATCTCAAGAACTTTCCATAACAGTAACAGTCCTTATTGGGTACTAGGATTTCAGTAAACGGGTACGCATCAAGCCTGTCATATAATGCTTCTTTTT